CACAAAAACATCCGATTTAAATAGGAGAATGTAAAGGAAATGGTTTTCAAGGAAAGGTCGACAATTCTAAAAGTAAGAAAGAACCGTCAAATGAAGGAAACCATCAAGCTTGCTAACCGAACAATTAGAAAAATAAGGGAAGAAATGAAAAGACGGATAAACCTGACAGAAATTAATCATCCTATATACGCAGACTCGGCAACGATCGCAGAAATAATAGGCGTAAAAGTAAAAACCTAAAGTAAACGAAAAAGAGAAATGCCAGTCTGGAAAGAAAAAATAGAAACCGAAACAAATAAACTATGAGGACTGTTATGTTCCGGAAAGGGATATATTTGAACGAAGTAGCTAAGTGGTTTTGGCTACTATAACCAAGTATAATATGGTAGCATTAATCGACTGGTACGCGTCGTAGTCGTAGGTAAGAAGCGTAGATCAATGGTGTAGTCCAATGGGCGTCGTTATAGACTTAGCTCTCAGACTAAGACTCTTTGACTCTCCTACACGTCCGTCGGTATTTATGACGGACACCAGTCAATCATATTACAGTGAGGGGGGAACACAGGTGTATGCATATTCTATTATATCAAGGACAATTGTCACTTGTAAGCGAAGTAGACAAAAGGTCTAAATGAAAGAAAGAAAAAGGAGACAACTGAAACGAAGCCTTGACATAAAGAATAATACTGACTTACCAAAAGTTAAAAAGAAGCGGAAACGAATTCAAGCGAAGGCGCGGGAAATCAGGCGTTATGAAAAAAGAAACAGATTTTTTTTCTGGCCAAAATGATCTTGAAAAAGATGGCATGAAGCGATATGGAGAACTTGGAAAAATAAAATAGAGATAAATGACCCACTTAATATCCAGGAATTCGAAAAATTCTGGTGTAAGATGTGGGAAAACAGCAAAATGCACAATGAAAGAGCTATATGGATCAAGCAGCAACATGAACAACACACAGATAGAGAGTGCCAAAAATGGACGTATGTCAATATTACTGAAACAACCGCTGCCATCCACATACTTAGGAATTAACGAAGGAGACGGAATGCAACATTCAATTATGAAGAAAAAAACTCTCTATATATATACATTATACTATATATACATTATACATATATATTTATTATACTATATATATATTATACAATATATATATATATATATATATTATACTATATTGTCATCCACAGACAGACTGTTTCACTGTATCGCAGCTCATCAGTGTGGCTAGACATCCGGTTGCCTCTAGCTAGGATATATATATATATATATATATATATATATATATATATATATTATACTATATATATGTTCTAAAAGAGTACCTTTGATACTAGAAAGCGAACTAAATGGGACCAATAAATTGAAGGCTATCAACACTTTAGCTATACCCGTAGTAACATACAGCTTCAACATTATTAAATAGAAATTGAATGACATTAAAAGATTGGACATCAAAACCGGAAAAATGCTTACCCAAATGAGGATGCACCACGTGAAATCAGATGCTGATGGGAAGTATGGATCAAGAGCTTTAGGAGGTCGAGGTCTAATGCAACTTGAACTAACTCTAAAAACAATCGGATTGAAAGCATACTTAACAAACACCAATTACCATCTCCTGCAAATAGTAAAAGACCAAATTCACTCCATCAACAAATAAGCTGAACTCTCCAAGAAACAGTTTATTATACCTGAAATCCTACCGACAAAAAAAAAAACAAAAAAACAAAAAACAAAACACAAACCGAAGCGAATAGCATTTATGTCAAACGAGTAAAGCAGAAAGCAAAACAACTTGGCCAAATGAAGGTACAACAAAACTGGGAGGACAAAGTGTTGCATGTCAAATACATAAAAAGAACAAAAGAAGCAGATGTGGACCAAAAGAAAACACATTAGTGGCTGAGGAGCAGCAGGCTGAAAGCTGACGTAGACGGTCTAATTATGGCAGCTCAGGACCAAAGTCTCGCAAACAGATCCTATCACTGGCACATAATCGAGGATGAAACTAACCCGAAATGCAGGATCTGCGCAAAATATGATGAAACTATCGACCATATTATTGCAGGATGTCCGGAACTGGCAAAGAATGAATATATCCAGAGACATAACAAGATAGCGCCATATATGCACTGTGTGACGTCGCCGATCCAAATGTGTCGTCTGCCTGTTTGCGTCAGTCGTACTATCCTGTCAGAAAAATAACACCGCTTAGTGTCCTTTTCGTGATGGCTTCTTATCACCTAGTTTTAATTCTCGCCTTTCTTTTTTTTCTTTCCTTTTTCTTTTCTCCTTTCTCCCTTTTAGCATGCAAGAAACCCAAAATCAAGACTGCTGAGAGCTGGTATGATCACCAACCAGACACCGTTACCCAAAATAACGATGTAACTATCCTCTGGGACATGCCAATTCAAACTGACAGGGAAATAAAAGCCAACAGACTTGATATTATCATAAAAGACAAGAAATTCAGAAAGTTTATACTTATTGACATAGCAGTACCATTTGAGAGAAACAGTTTCATAAGAAACTATCAAAAAATTGTCCAAATACAACGACCTGGAGATCGTGATTAACAGGATTTGGGGAATGAGGACTGAGACTGTACCAATAGTAATCGGAACTCTGGGCCTCGTGAGAAAAGGAATAAACACTTTTACTAACAGTGTCCCAGGTAACATCAACATAGAAGTTGCCGAGAACACCTCCCTACTAGGAACGTCCCAGTGCTATCAATTAAATGACAATTTTTTTATAACGATAGTTTGACCCGGCTCTACAGGATACAAAGCAGGAAATATAACACACAAACAATAATAATAATCATAAACACATTGGTTGTCCCTGTGGTGCAATACAATTTCAAAATCCTTCATTGGACCATAGCTGACATTTAGCGAATGGATTGCGAAACGAGAAAGTTTCTGACACTACGTTCACCATCTTAAGGCTAATATTGATCGTCTCGATATGTAGAGAACCAAAGGAGGTAGAGGATTAGTTCAACTAGAATTGTCTTACAAAGCCACAACAATCGGTCTTCAAAGATACCTGGAAACTACAGAAGACTGGATGATGATCTGTGTCGAAGAACATGAAAGAAATAAGAAAAATCATTCATTAATAAAGAAAGCCAACAAATTCAAAAGGGAATTTCAAGAGGGTGAGGAAGTGAAAATAAACCATAATGCACCTACTGCAGCGGCAAAGATGCTAAAAAGAAAGCAAAAGAAAATGCAAAGTACGAAATGCAGAAATGATGGCAAGATAAGCCTCTTCATGGTCGGTACTCTGTTCGTACCAAAAAACTGATGTAAATAAACCCCGTACTCCATCAGTGGCTACGTAGTACAGGGAAGCAAGTAAACGGAAGGGATTTCCACGGTGGGTAGAGTTGGAAAAGAGACTGTTAGAGTAGAAGTGGCGGTAGCATTTAACAATTTAAACACTAAGAGAGTGGGACCTAAATGCCAATCTAGCAGCAAGCTTAAATTCATGTAGTCGAGGCACCATGGAAAAATGCTCGGCAAAGCTGGTGCCATGAAAACATTTGTAGAAAAGACAGAGGGAAGCCACGTCACGTCGGTGAGAATATCAAGATGTCTGGTCATGATCGATTTCCTTACAGATCCTTCTTTTTTTTAGATTCTAAAATGAACCCGTGATTTTTAGTTTATCATAGACAAACAAGATATAATTAACCGAACCAACTCAATATTCTGCTAGGACATCTGGCTAAACCATGTTCAAAAGACCTGTTCTGTATATTCAATTTGATTCAACATGCTTGTTTTCAACCGTGATATGATTTTAATCGCTATCCAAAGGTGCTGCACGCTAGGATCACATCCCTAAGACCTGTGAATTTTATTTTATAATAGGTACACAAGGAAATAATGGCCAGCTCGTTCCTGAGCCCGCTTATTTACCAGTGCGGCGAACTAAACTCCGTTACAGACGCCTAATTAATCCATAGAGCTTTACTGTGGTTCATACAGAAATTATGCTGGGCAAAATTTAGTTACAGTTTCTGACATAAAAATATTTTTTGAACACGGCGAAGTACTCTTAAATCCTCAGTCGTTATGCCGTTTGACTTCTTGCTAGCACAACCATCGATGGTGTTGTAGAGTAGTTTTCACAGTGGAGAGTTGTATTTCAATAAGTCGTCCTAAATTAGGTTCGACGTACAAAACGTTAGAAACCTGAAAAAAGAGTTAATGACGCAGCAATCTAGTTGTGATGGTTGGTACTTCAATGTCCGATATCGACTGACTCGCTCAACACCACTGAACCCGAACTGGCGACCGCTACTACTACTTATTGTGTGTGGGAGAGTCTATTAATAATAGAATAGGTACGTCAGGTATAACAGATGGTTATCTCTATCTAATTGTCATTCACAAGGATTGGGTCAAAATTACATCCCGATATCGATAACAAGAAGTCGCGTCAATGAAGATGTCAAAATTTGGTTAGATTCGAAACCGGGTCTAATGGTCAGAAATCTAGCAATCTTACGACTCCATCACGCACCCACATAAAATGCAGTCGTAAGAACTATGCGTCTATACAACATTAATATTATTATTTATGAAGAAACAGTTTTCGGTTATGACTTTCATAAGAGAAGTTTGCTATTTGCTGCATGATATCAAAACAGGAAGGAACAACAGCAATGGAAAAGTAAAAACGACTACTTATACTTTGAGCTTTTTTTATGGCTAAGTAAATGAACGATTTTTTTTCTCCCTTTAAGTCCACTGAGATTGAAATCGGATTATCAGATTCGATTATCGACTGCCGTACATTATCGATCTTCGGGAAAACTAAGTGCTCAGGTGGTTTAGCCAACGGAAGAAACAAGAAGAAGAAGGAACTTGTACAAATGAAAGCAGTCAAATTCCGCTTTCCTTGTCCCGCCAATAAGCAGTGCAGTGACGCACGTACAAATGTATTCTGCTATTTATCCATTAACATCTTTAATGGGAAAATGGCATTGATTTTCTCTTCTGGCGCCAAATCGCCTTGCAAGATGTTGACTTTTCAGAATAGGCCACCTAACAATTTCAAACAATTAGTAAATGTGTGTATCTTTAATAAAATTGTCGTTTATCTATCTATCTATCTATCTATCTATCTATCTATCTATCTATCCCGGGTGTAACCGCAAAATTGTTCAAATCGTATCAGAGCATAATTCCCCCACAAATTTTTTACAAGTTTTCAGATAAAACGGTTAGCGATCTTGACAGCATATGTCGAAAAAACACTATCTATCTATCTATCTATCTATCTATCTATCTATCTATCTATCTGTTATGGGACCTTACCCATAATAACATAATGGACTATTCCATACGTAATAAATACTGCGCCTCAAGAGGAAGGAGAGAGATCTGTCTAAAGTCGGGCGACCGGCTGACCGGCTGATCGGGCTGGGAGGAACACGAACGAGGCTACGTCGAAGGGCGGAGTCACTTTCGGGGAGGCAAACCAACTCTGAACCCGTTTAAACGGGTTCAAAGGGTATATTTTTTACCGAGCCCACGGGCTCGGAGATCCCGCGTTAAACCGGCCTTGTGCTACATGATGCCCTCATGGTGGTGGTGGTGGTGGGGCTTGGGGTGACTAAATACCGTTCTGTCTGAAGTCTGGAGTGAAGTTCGTCAAGAGTCTGTCAGTCAGTCAGTCAGTCAGTGAGTGAGTCAGTCGAGTCAGAGGCAGTCGAGTCAGAGGCAGTCCAAACAGACAATTACTACTAAACCTGATTGTTCGTACTAACACTTTCTACTTCTCTGTATATATTCCTGTTTGTAATATGTCTGTGTTATTCCATACCCGTATTCGAGTTCTTCTTTATTGGTTCTACCTTGGACTACCACCGTGGTACAAGGAACCGGACCATAACACACTTTGAATTATTTAGCTAGAAAGAAAAGTGTTTAAATTTGTTTTCTGCCAGCCCCAATGTCTTCTCAACTTAGTAAGTGAAAGAAAAAAAAATCTGGACTTCAGTAATCGTACCAAAATTCATACTCTGGCTTCCAGTTCAAAACGTCCATTCAAGAACCATCAAGAGAACAGTGAATATGTTAAAAAAAGAGGGAACATTTAGATCAGGATGAGGGATCGTCATTTCAAATTAGAGCTAAAGATATCAATTAGAAAAGATCCCACTCAATCCATAAGAAATTTGGCACGCAAGAGAGGAGTTTCAGATATGACAGTCCAAAATGTAGTGAAAAAAAAAAAACCTTAAAAATGGAATCGTACGTGAAACGTGTGAGACACTTTGATATTTCAGGACAGAAAGTTAGAAGATTAGAGAGGCCGATGATTATCTTGAATAAGTTAAAAAATATCCTGATATATATATATATATATATATATATATAAACAAAACATTAGGCAGCATATAATTCTATATGATTGATTCTATGTGTGATTATTTCTTTGTATATATATATATATATATATATATGTGTGTGAAAAGTGTATATAAATATAAATAAATATATATATGTATAATTATTTATATATTATATATGCGGTACTTATTAGAAAGCGCTCAATATCAGAGATAGAGCTAACATATTTGGTATATATATATATATATATATATATATATATATATATATATTTTGAACTTTATTTCAATCCTTCATGGGCTTCCCACTCTTAACTATGATTTTCGTTTATGACAGTCTGCAGAGTCACAACGTAGAGTCAAATATTGTTATAAAAACTCCGGGAAATTCCAGTAAGATATCTTTAATCATTTCTAAGATACAACTCTTCAAATATTAATCTAACAGTTGGACAATTTTGGTGTTACACCCGGTATAGCCATTTTCATTATCTATCTATCTATCTATCTATCTATCTATCTATCTATCTCAGCCGCTACAAATCGGTTCCAGGCCATATGTTTTATCGGTTCAAGTCCATATGTACTAATGCAAGCTATAGAAAAATATATATACGTATGTAATGCAGTTTTTATGAACAGAAGTTGGAAAAGTGAATCAATATCTCTTTGTAGTTTATAAAACGCAGATGTTCCAATGGGAGAAATCCGAGCTTTGAATAGGAAATCTCGGTGCTTAGGCATTATGGTGAAAAAGATAATATACCACCATTGAACCTCACTTGACACCACCCGTCATTGTGACTCGGCAAAATAGAGAAAATTCGTATCACAATATACATTAGAAGTTGTTTTTAAGTCGTCTCTTTAATCCACCAAGAACAGAGTTGTACAAAACTGCAAAAATAAAGTTTGAAATAACACACACACACACACATATATATATATATATATATATATATATATATATATAAAAGAAGTAAAATATGCATGACAAACAAGTTGAAAATGCAATGTGTTTGTTTAGAGTAACTTTAACGTTTTCAAATTTCTATGAGTTTCAAAAGTTAAACTGAAATGGAGAAAAGTGTAGCTATGCCATGGTCTGTTTTGTATTTCTATTTAATTTTTGAAAATAATAGAACGGCGAAACAGGCAAAGTTACTGTAAATAATGTTCTTAAAGTCTCCAGTTTCATTTTACACTTCTTTTTCATATATATATATATATATATATATATATATATATATATATATACGACTGATGCCAAATTTGTTTGGTTTCGATCCCGGTTTGAGGCAGTCAGATGTCTAGCCACACTGATGAGTTGTGATGCAGTGAAACAGTCTGTATATGAATGACAACACGCACACACTTTAGCCTAATTGCTAAATTAATCTTTAAACCATAGTGTCTGAGAAATGATTAAATATATCTTATTGGAATTCTTATAGGTTTTTATAACACTATTGGACTTTGCATTGAGAATGAGAATGTATAATTACTCTCAAAGCTTTACAGAACAAGCAAAAATTCCCCGTAGGCCCCTTATACACGGGGTCGAGTTGCTGTCTACCACCCAAACGGGATTCTGCCCTTCGTCATAGTCTCGTCTATGTTCATCTCTGCCCAAGTGCAGAGAGTTCGAGCAGCACAGCTGGAGATGAATCTCCAACTCATTGCCGAAGCAAGGTTATTTACCTTACCTCCCCGCGAGGCAGGATGTGTCACAAGGCCGTCTTTCTTTGTGATTATTTAGCGCAAATCTATAGGGTCTGGTGAAAGATGCTCTTCTTTCGACTAAAACTTCTTTCAATTTTATCTGGATATTAAAATTTACGAGACTCATTTTAACGTTATTTCTAAAATTTAAATATATTGAAACAATCCAATAACACTACCAGTTATAATCTCATTTAAAATGTCCTCCCGTAAATACTTAGAAATTCATTTTAAATACTCTTTTCACAATATCTGCTCTATAACAATATAGTTGATCTGTATCGTGGTTATTCCTGATTTCCCTCAATCATGGATTGCAAATCATAACTTAAATGAACCCAACACAGCAAATTTTCTAACCATGTTCATAGAAACTGTCGCCCATGTTTCTGGGGAATCCCTGATACGATGATGTCACGCAAATGTTTCGTTATTATTCAGTCAATACATGAGCCAACCCGCTCACGGTGGAGTTTTACTGAATGAGATTGTTTTATGGACGTAAGAGGAGAAGTTGCAGATTACCAGGATATGTAGGATAATGGTGTATCCTTAAAGAGGTTACAAACATACAAAGGTGGTACTCGAGTGAAGGAACAGCAACACGCGCGTAGATGAAAGAAAGAGAGGTTTATTGTAAAAGAGAATACACTACTGAAAGACAGGGAATCGGGTAACAGGCTAGTATATCCAGAAGCAAGTTTATTTACCTACCTCCCCGTGAGGCAGGATGTGGCACAAGGACTTTTTCTAATGAGGGGCAAAACCGAGCCCGTAGGCTCGGGCAAAAATTCCCCGTAGGCCCCTTATACACGGGGTCGAGTTGCTGTCTACCACCCAAACGGGATTCTGCCCTTCGTCATAGTCTCGTCTATGTTCATCTCTGCCCAAGTGCAGAGAGTTCGAGCAGCACAGCTGGAGATGAATCTCCAACTCATTGCCGAAGCAAGGTTATTTACCTTACCTCCCCGCGAGGCAGGATGTGTCACAAGGCCGTCTTTTAATGTAGAACCGTACACGGGGTCGGGTAGCTGTCTACCACCCCAGATGAGACGCTGCTCTTCGGCATAGCCTCGTCTGGGTTCCTCTCTACCCGAAGGCAGAGTATTCGACCAGCACAGCTGGAGACAAATCTTCATCTAATCGTGTAACAGCAAAATTGCCCAATTGCTAAATTAATCTTTAAACCATAGTGTCTGAGAAATGATTAAATATATCTTATTGGAATTCTTATAGGTTTTTATAACACTATTGGACTTTGCATTGAGAATGAGAATGTATAATTACTCTCAAAGCTTTACAGAATTCTCGTGATGAAATCGATCATAAACGAAAATGACACACGCCCACACACACACATATATTATTTGAGGATAATTTTCCAACTTATTCAAGATGATCTTCGTTCTCTCTAACATTCTAACTTTCTGTCCTGGAATAACAAGTTGCCTCACAGATTTCACATAAGATTTAATTTTCAAGTCTTGGTTCACTGCTCTTTGGACAGTCATAGCTGAAACTTCTCTCTCACCTGCCAAATGGATTGAGTTGATTCTTTTCTAATTGATCTCTTTAGCTGAAATGGTGATCCCTCTTCGGTTGTGACCTCCTGATCGAGTTTTCCTCTGCTGTTCTCTCTTTTTTAAACTTATTCACCGTTCACTTTATGGTTCTTGAATGAACTTTGAAGATGAAAGCCGAATATGAATTTTGATACCATTACTCAAGATCTGATTTTTTTTCTCTCACCATTGCTGAGTTGGGAAGACATTGTGGCTGACATAAAACGATTTTAACTTATTCCCTTTCTAGCTAAATAATCCAAAGGATTTTTAAGTGATTCTTACTTATCAAGATGGCCAAACGTCTTATCTTAAAACCTGGAAAGAAGAAACTATAGTTTAGTTTTTGTTTAGATATTAAACATTTTGTGGGATGGATAATTATGGTGTAACAGGATTGGGACAATTTTACTGTTACACCCGGTATATAGGGTGGTGAAGTTTTGTTTGTAAGAAAGGAGTTGTAGTGTAATCACCTACAAGGCCGTGTCAACGTTTTCGAACCCTCAGGTTTTGAAAGAGAGCATTGGTAAGCTCTCGTCCAATATTCCGCTTCAGTGAGTTTCTGTATCATTTGTAATATTAGCTAAGTAATTTGATACTGTTTGGACGTTCTTCTTGAAGTCCTGGGTATGACGATAAACTACATCCGGCAGCAAGGCTTCTGATCCGGGAAAATGGAGATCTTGAGGAGCAAGGATGCCCATCTTAATTGCTGTTGTTTCCAGCTCCATCCTGACCCGAGGTGTTAGTACCTGTTAGGACTTCAGCTATGAAAAAACAAACACAAAACACCGTGAATGTATAAAAATATTTTTTTTTATCAAAAAGTACCAGTAATAGACTTTTATATTAAAAAAAATTACCAACCATACCTATTTTTAGTAATATTACCAACAATACAATTTTAAAGCAAAATGAGAAGCGGTACATGTTTTAGTAGAATTAACAATAATATATTTTGTTGCAAAATGTCCAACAATACATTTTATAGTAAAATGACTAACAATAAAATTATTATCTGTAGTTAAAGGTATACAATTGCGTTCAAAATATATTATTTCAGACCATTGAATTGCATTCAAAGTATTTAGATTTTGGCATTAAATAACTTATAGGGGTTGATATGCCGCTAAACAAAATCAATCGTATCGAAGAAATTGTTCAAAAATGATTTACAATTTGAATAAATGTTTTTTTCGAATAATTGTTTTCGAACAGAAAACAATTATTCGACAAAAAACATTTTGAATAAAAAAACATTTGAAAAAAAATATTTTGAATAAAAAACATTTGAAAAAAACATTTTGAATAAAAAAAACATTTGAAAAAAAACATTTTGAATAAAAAAAACATTTTGAAATAAAAAAAAACATTTTGAATAAAAAACAATTTGAATAAATGTTTTTTTCGAATAATCGTTTTCTGTTCGAAAACAATTATTCGAGAAAAAAAAAACATTTGTTCAAATTGTAAATTGTTCGAAGGAAACTTAACCGAAAGGCCAATTATAGTCAATGATAATTATTCCAAATACCTATGTCTGAAATACGTATGTGGTGTTACTTTGAGACAGTTAATACTGATTTACCTAGAACTAATAAACGCTCTTGTAGGATGGCATTGGGATTTCCTGCAGTAAATGCCATCCTTTCATCCCACAATATAGAAATTCTTAGATTCTTCTCGTACGTGAAACCTGTGAAGCAACTTGTTATTCTAGGACTGAAAGTTAGAATGTTAGAGAGAACGAAGATCATCTTAAAGAGAACAGAGACTTGCAAAAAATTCATACTGCAAAAGTAAGAGCAGGTTGTAAAATATCAAGATTGCAGAAATACGGCGACGTCAATGGAAAACTTTAAAAACTTAATGGCATCCTTTAACGAGTACTCTTTATTAATTGACTATTTGCGTACAGTAGCATATAACTTCCGGCTATAAGGATTTTTTCTTACTAAATTGTTTTATTAACGATATTTATATTTTTGAATAGTTATCATTTGTGTATTTCCTTTTTTAATTTTTACATTTTTATTGCATTAAAGAATTTTGCATTTCGAATAATTATCATTTAGTATAATTCTCCTTTCGATTAATTTTCATTCAAACAATTTGCAATTTGAATAAATGCTTTTCGAATAACTGTTTTCGTATAGTTGTTTATGAACAATTATTTTTGAACAATGTTCGCATAGGGAAAATCGACCAATCAACGTCCTTTTTGAAATCTGTCATGATTTAAATTATTAAGCTTACTTTGAATGTGCGATTCGACCGCCCTTTATTGAAATAACTTTCCTCCACGCAAAAGCTGATTGTATGTTATCTCTCACTGCAATTAAGCAACATTGATTTGCAACATGCTAATATTGGAGTGCCTGTTCATGTTAACAAGTTCAGGATTAATGTTCATCCCTGGATGACAACCTGCTTCCATGTAGGGATCAACTAATAAGTCTTTCATGTTCCGGCTCCAATGCGTTCGTATTGATTATAGTCATTTTATAACTTCGCGGGTAAACAGGAAAATCTCTTTCCAATAACGGTTGGCCATAACTATTTCAGAGAATCATTGTTACTTAGTCTATTGATGGTGGGTCATAAGATCTTCGATCATTTATTCTATATCTATTCAATACCCTGATAATGAAGAGATTAACCAGGAACATTTGGTATGCATTGATCGAACCGTTTAGTGCTAGTCACACTGAAAAATTGTTTTTCAGGACAGTAGGACTGTTCTCACTTTTTAAAAAGAAAAAAAAATTCTGGTCGGAGTTTCCGTCCTAACCTTTTGTTTAAGGAAATATGGAAAGCTAACACATTGATTATATCATTACTTCCTCTTCTAGTTATATGTATTGACCATTTCAGGTGTTGTTGCTGTTGGAGGTATTCAAGTAATGTGATATTTAGCAAAGAACTTTGTGATTATTTAGCGCAAATCTATAGGGTCTGGTGAAAGAAGCTCTTCTTTAAAGCCTAAAGAATTCATTCGCTTGAGACCATTTTTAATCAGGGATCTGAGAAAAGGGTTGCATGCTAAGGAATAAAAAATTTCAGAATTACCATACCTTTGGGGTAGGGGTGGTGGCTATAATTTTCTTTATTTGTTTTCAGTGTCATCGCTGGTCTTTACATGGTTATATCTTTTATTCAATCTGTTATAAAATTTATTTGCAAAGTCTTTCTTCCTTCTTTCCTTTCTTTTTTCTTTCTTTCGTTATTTCTTTCATTCTTTACCCACGTCAATGCGCCGGATCAATATGTTTTTTTAAATATCTATTTGCTCGCCAAGGTCGAAAGAATCATTTGAAAATTGAAAATTATGTAACGATTACGCGAAAACAGGAAATAGTAGAAATGCAGAGTAGATAAATAATGAACAAATAGATAGATAGATAGATAGATAGATAGATAGATAGATAGATAGATAGATAGTGTAAAGACGGAAGTAAATAGATAGATAAATAGATAGATAATGTAATGACGGAAATAAATATATAGACGGATAGTGTAAAGACGGAGATAGATAGATAGATAGTGTAAAGACGGAGATAGTGTGAAGACGTACATAGATAGATAGATAGATAGATAGATAGATAGATAGATAGTGTAAAGACGAGATAGATAGTGTGAATAGATAGATAGATAGATAGATAGATAGATAGATAGATAGATAGTATAAAGACGGAAATAAATAGATTGATAGAAAGGTAAACCGGAAATAGATAGATAGATAGATAAATAGATAGATAATGTAATGACGGAAATAAATATATAGATGGATAGTGTAAAGACGGAGATAGATAGATAGATAGATAGATAGATAGATAGATAGATAGATAGATAGTGTAAAGACGGAGATAGATAGATAGATAGATAGATAGTGTAAAGACGGAGATAGTGTGAAGACATACATACATAGATAGATAGATAGATAGATAGTGTAAAGACGGGGATAGAGAGTGTGAAGAGATAGATAGATAGATAGATAGATAGATAGATAGTGTAAAGACGGAGATAGTGTGAAGACGTACATAGATAGATAGATAGATAGTGTAAAGACGGAGATAGTGTGAAGACGTACATACACAGATAGATAGATAGTGTAAAGACGGGGATAGAGAGTGTGAAGAGATAGATAGATAGATAGATAGATAGATAGATAGATAGATAGATAGATAGATAGTGTAAAGACGGAGATAGTGTGAAGACGTACATAGATAGATAGATAGATAGATAGATAGATAGATAGTGTAAAGACGGGGATAGAGAGTGTGAAGAGATAGATAGATAGATAGATAGATAGATAGATAGATAGATAGATAGATAGATAGTATAAAGACGGAGATAAATAGATTGATATAAAGGTAAAGACGGAAATAGATAGATAGATAAGGCACAGCGTGAGTACGTTACCCTATATCTCTTGCATGCAATATATCCAATGAGTGTTAAATTTTCCCAACTTCTCTAAGACGCAGTGAATAGATTCATTTTAATGAAGGATATCATAAAACGGTGGTATATAGAAGTTAGTTTAGATCAGTCATGGGTAACCTTTCGGGCGCAGTGGGATCATCACAATGTGTGCTGTACTACCAAACAGAGTCAAGGTAATTACTCGTAGTAGATAACTCAGCTATTTTCACTACAGTAGGCCATATGCGTAAGCATATACCTTAGAAATGATGAGAAAGTTTTTTTTTTTATAAAATATTTTAGAAATAAATAATTGATGTTATGCTATAATATTATCACATTCGACATTTTTATTCTACAAGAAAATTCACTACGCGCTTACATTTTTGTTAATGGACATGTTTCAATAGGAAGAGAAGAGAATATGAATGAAAATTATAAACGATGTTGTTAAGACCATATTGGGGTGAAATCTGAAATATAAAAAAAAATGAATTGAAAAGTTCACAGTAACATTTCAAACACTCTGTATTATCACTAATGATAGTGTGATTAACACGGGATCGCTGCATGTGACTTATTTCTAAGTTATTCATTTAAAAATATATATATATATATATCTTCTTTAGAGAAAAAATTAGTATGAATGTTTTTTGTTTCAAAAACAAAATATGTTTGCACGTATGATCTTCCATAGTGAAAATCATCAATGGTTTAAAATGATGAAAATATTATTTATATTTATTTTCTTTTTAATAATCTTTTCACCCCAAGAAAGGCAAAAAAACACTAACACACTGTGGGTTTACTGGGCGTGAGAGAATATAAGAAAAAACTATTATATAGGAGCAGTAAACAAAAAAAAAAGAACAGCAAGTAAGAAGACGGAAATAACGATTAAATGTTTTAAAATCAAAAATTATTGAAAAGCAAGAAGCCGGAAGCGCGTTCCATAAGCTAGAAGTGCGAGAAAACGGACTATTAGCGTAGAACTTACAGTTACATCTAGCCAATTCATCTGTAAAATGATAGGATCTTGCCGCCAATCTAGTCTTTCTTTTTATGTGCCATGTCCTTTTAGGACGTCGGCGATCATGGCTCTCCACCTCTCTCTATCCCTTGAAAGTTCCTTCCCTCTGCCACCTCCACCAGACCACGTTCTGTGATCCACTTGTTTAAAACCGCTACGTATGTCATGCGCGTCCTGGTTAAGACGATAAACTACGTCCAACAGCAAGGTCTATGATCACGAGGTTTTGAGGAGCGTGGAACCACCTCTTTATTACTGGTGTTTCCAGGTCCACCATGACTCGGGGTGGTAGTATCTGTTTGGGCCCCAGCTATGGGCAAATAGTTAACCTTTGCTGGTCTTCCACAACGTTTGGTATCGTTCACCGATTGTGATATTAATTTCCGACATTTTTATACTACAAGAAAAGTTACCATGCACTTATTAATACTTACACTTATTAATAGACATATTTCAATATAGAGTGCAGGAGAGGAATATGAATGAAAATTATAAACAATGTTGTTTATACCATATTGGGGTGAAATCTGAAATCGAAAAAAAATATGATTAGAAAAGTGCTCAGTAATATTCCACATATCATCTCTGATGATAGTGTGATTAACACATGCTCACTGAGTGTGATTTATTTCTAATTTAGTCATTTAAAAAAAATACATGTCTTTAGCGAAAAATTATCATTAATGTTTTCTGCTTCAAAAGCAAAATATATTACATCTTTGATCTTCCTTAGTGGAAATCGGCAATGGTTTAAAATGCTGACAACGTTACTTTTGTGACGTGACGTGGTCCAGTGTTGATCCTTTGGTCACGGCACCATTTGTGACGTCGTCCCCCGGTCGCAGCGTCGACTGTGTCGTTCGATCCCGTTCGCGGCGCCAATTGTGACGTCACGTGCTCCCCAGGCTCTGATATCCTGGTCACGGACAGCACCAGTTGTGACGTCTTTTGTCGCGGCGTCAGCTGTTCGCTCCTCGCTGCTTCAAATGTGACGTTCTAACCCTTTGGTTAGATTGATACCAGCCTCGTCGTTCTCAACCCGCTTCCAACGCCTGGTTACCAGGGTAACTGCACTGATCTCCGGTCTACCTACCCACGTTGTGACTTGATCTTAGACAGACGAGATCAAACAGGGCTTGGGGCCGTAATGCAAGTTGAGTCTAACGGGGGTGATAACACACAATTATGTATAATAAAAAGAAATAAAATAAAAACTCACAAGGTCCAACGTATCAAGAAAAAGGTAACAAACTTTTATGTCTCTTTGCTCGGTACATAGGACAATGTCTACTTCCCGACCCATTCTGTGGATTGTGGCACGACGCTTTTACTAGGCAATTTTAAGGCTTCCAGTTGTCTGCTCTCTAAGAAATTTGTGTTTCGGCGTGTCCTTGGACGAAAGTCGAAAAAAAACTTATTTCTGGGGTCTGATTTTAAGTCGCTCTTCAAACTACTTGTTCTTGGTTGAAGAAGAGTCCAGAAGTGTGCGTGAATCTTGGTTAGCTATCTTGACGTGGTTTCAACACTGGGCGCTCATCTCTGCTTGTCCTTCACGGCTCAAACTCCAACTCAAACTCTCTCGCCGTCCGCTCTCAAACTTCTACTCAACTTCTTCTCTTCAGAGTCTGAATTATTGGTCACTCATCTCCGCCGTCAGTGCGCGAATTAACTTCTTCTCTTCGGCCAAACGAGCTGGCCTCTCTTGCCCGCAAGGGGGCGAATGAACCGGTCCCGCCGCCCGCACTCAAACTCTCTCGCCGTCCGCGGCGCAACTCTGATCCGCTCGCCGTCCGCGGCTGATCTGATTTCTGTCGTTTGGGGTTTCGCTTTTATTGACGCCGTCAAAAACTGGGGTGGGTCTGTTTGGCGTCGAGGATTCTTCGATAATTCTAAATACGTATCCACCCTTCTTATTTCTGGTTAGGGATTTTCCATTTTCGGTAATTCACTTTCACTCCTACTTCCTTACTGTGCCTCTGAGGGGCGTATACCCTCTTTCCCGCTTCTTCTTCTCGGCCCCTCACACTTACACTTCCGACAAGGGCGTCGACCGATTCTCCTCGTGCGTCACGTGACCGCTCTCGGCCAATGAGGTCCTGGTCGGGTATCTTTCCTCCTCCTTCGTGCGCCACGTGATCTTATTTAGCCAATGACGTCCTGGTCGGGTATCTTTCTCCTCATTCGTGTGTCATGTGATCCCATGTAGCCAATGACGTCTTTAGTCGGGCGTGGACAATCCGTGGCTTTGTTCTGGGGGAAGAAACACCTTGCTTAAAAAAATAAAAATTTAAATTGCCCTTATCATAAGCGACTGCGATGACACCTTCGGCTTTTTAACACGTGGTATTTGTCAAGCAGTTTATCGCTAATTGGATACGACCTAAGAAAGGGATTTCTCAGACCTGTTGGCGTTTCCGTGAACGAATAAAAATATTTCACTCTTTTTTTCCGGCCAAAGGTCCGATAATAAAAATTTTCATTATCTCAAAAAAACATTTTCAGCGAACATCATCTTGTGTGGCTTTTTCCAATTCTGGAAATTGTCTGTGTTTTCGTATTAATGGTTTGTCTTCATATCCTTAGATATACTTCTCACCTGTTACCTATCATATTTTTCATTGTCTCTAAACTTCGTTTCTTCAACCATTTGATAACAAACTTCCATTTCTCGTGGACACGGAAGTAGGTCAGGTGCTTGACCTGGATATCTTCTGACATCTGTTATGTGTCAGTCGAGCGTGTGTGTGATCGCTTATGACCTGTTTTCGTATTATTTTTTTTTTCTTTTTCTTCTGTCTTCTCTTTCTTTCTCCCAGATCGCTTGAATGTAAAGAAAGAATTATTCCTAACCCCGAAATATTTTCAGCCCTAAATAATTATCAAATGGTCGACAAACCGTAAAAAACAAATCATATATTTATGAATATTTCTTTTCAGCTCGCTAACTATGCATGGTGCCACACTTTCCACGGAATTTTACAAAATTCAAGAAACATTTTTTTATGTATGAGAGAGCGTGTGAGTGAACAAGTGAGAACGAAAGAAAATAAAATTTTAAGAAACATTACTTTCTATATGAAATTAAGCATGCCATTTAGAAAGACCAACCGAGCAGCATGTGACCCGGGGGTCGCAGTTTGCCCATGACTGGTTTAGAAATTTCTGAACGAGTTGTTTGTAATTCATGGCATCCATATGAAAATCTCGATCATACGTGACAAAGAACATGGCTTCATTTTTCAGTTGAATATTTTTGTTTTGCAGTATTTTACGGTGATGGACTAAAGAAGTCCTAGAGCAACCGTAGCGAGGTATAGTAGGAAAAACGTATATTCTTCAAATAGGTACTTTCGCAAGACTCTCCATTCTCTCTTCTTTTATATGCCATGCTCATTGAGGATGCTGTCAATCATCGCTCCACATAATTTTATCTCCTTTTCAGCTCTTATCATAGTTATTAAACTGTTGTCTTTTTGCCATCACTCCCAAACACTTCACAGCCATCTACCCACTCAAGCATGACTGGTTGTGCGTTGCTTACCTCTGTCGCTCTTACCTTCCTGTGTGTATCAATTTTTCCAAGCCCTTTAAGCTCCTAATAACAGTCATTTTTCTTATTTCTCCTAAACCTTCCACCATCCATTTAATCTAGCTCATTTAATATGTTATGTGTTGTTGCTCTCTGTCCCTCTTGACTTTAATCTGTCATGTGAGTATGAGATTTTCTAAGCCCTCCTTCCTCATTAAGTACCCCGGAAATTTCAACTGTCTCATCCTGATGTTAAGTACAGGGGTTGTACAAAATAATTGGAACAGTTGCGAAATCCACTCCTATATTTCAAAGACCTATTATATTAAGAACTTTAACTAAAACTTCGTAATTGCAGGTCATATCTATTGTAATTACGTTTATTTATCTAATTTACTATCTTTGTCTTATTCATTTTTAGAATTTAGTAAAATTTAAGCTAAATGTGTGACCTCTCCGAGTTCGAAAAAGAGCAAATTGTTGCAGCTCTCTTGGCAGGAGCCTCGATCACTAAGGTTGCTGAACTGTTTGGTTTTTCAAGAGCTACCATATGAAGAACACTGATGCAATTCGAGAAACAGGGCAAGACCTCTAGCAACCGTAGCAATTCGGACCGGACTTGCAAACTTACTGACAGGGACTGACGTGAATTGAAACGCATTGTGGCAAAATAAGTTATCAGACAAATACGGCCAAAGTGACTGCTGAGTTGAATAACCATCTGAATAGTTCAGTTTCTACTAAAACTGTTCACCGTGAGCTCCATAAGGCTGCATATCATGGAAGAGGCGCTGTGAGGAAACGTCTTCTCTCCACTCACAACATTCAAAAGAGGTTGAAG